CAAACGTCTTCAATAAACTATTTCGTAACTTTTTAAACCTCTCAAGGCACCAAGGCAACACCACCTACGCGCCTATACCTGGTCCGCTACCCACCTCCATCGTCTCCACCTCACGTCATCCATCGCCTCCCTTAGAATTCACAGAGGTCAGGTGATCTCTGTTCCCGCACAAAAAATCCTCCTTCTCTCTGTTCTCGCACCAAAAGTCCTCCTATTTTCTGCAGCTTCTTATCTTCCTTCGCAGCTGGAGTACTATCGCTGCTTCTCTCCCTTGGCGTGAAGCTGCCAATACCTAGATCTATCCATTCGCGGCTGGAATACTCGCGCTACAGGCCTTCTTTTATTTTATCGATTTTGCCTTTTTGTTTTGGTTGTTTTGACCTTTACGTCTCTATTTTTGTCCTTTCTTGTTTATAATCTAATATAAAATATAATATATATAAAAACTTATAAGCATCAATGGTTAGGGCATTTTAGGAATAATAAAAATGTTGGTGTAACACTTAAGCAAGATGCACTTGTGCAATTTGTTTTAATGATTGTACCATTCAACATTACCCATATTTAAGCCCCTTACCTCTGTTAACTCTAATTCTTAAGTTTCCCATTAACAATCTTTCTCTACATTAATCTTTGGGTTATGCACTTTTGTATAGTGATGGCAACGGGGCGGATCGGGGACGGGTACACATAAAACCGAAACCGCCCCGTTGGATAAATGTTTGCCCCGAAACCGCCTCATTACCCATTCGGGTAATTTTTAATTGAACCGTACCCGCCCCAACAGGGAATCGGTTTATCCACGGGTAACCGTTTCCCCAAATGATACCAAATAACCAATTTTTTTAAAAACAAATAACCAACTTCAAATCTTACTTGTTATTTATATATTCAAAGCACCCTAAAACATACAAAAGTAAATATTTAATCAATTAAGTAGATTGGCCTAAATTCATTAGAATGACATGCACCTAATATCTCTTGTAACATAATAATAAATAGTAATCATCAGAGAATCCAAATTCCAAAATCAGGTTTAGGCCTATATTTAGTTTTAGACCTAAAAAAGTACTCATAGTTTACTTTTTAGCATTATTTATATGATACTCCGTATATACTATTTAGTATACACAATTTAGTATATATACTTATTATTCTTATATATAAAAAGTTATAATTCATTAATAATGTTACGGATCGGGTAACGGATCGGGGACCCGCACCATTAGTGAACGGGGCGGTTTCGGGGCGGATAACGGGGCGGATTAGTATAGAACCATAACTGCACCATTAACCATTTAAAAAATTCGGGTATTCCCCGCTCCGTACCCATTCCCCAGTCAAACCGATTTTCCCCGGTTTGACCAAATCGGTTCGGTGTGGGTATCCAACGGGTCGGCCCAAATTGCCATCTCTACTTTTGTAGTACCAAGTGTCCACGTCTATGTTTTTTTCATCGAAGAGGGCTTAAATTGATATAAAAGCATTCAGAAAGGTTACAAGATAACAAAAGGACCACATGTAACCATCCGTCCTTGGCCGAGACTCTGAGTTAATCACCTTTGACAAAGCAATATAACTCGTTAGACCTAACTTGGGCAACTTAAAGCCAATGACGATTACCGCAGACCTCTCATTCCCCAAACCTAATGCAAGAACCTTGAAATTAAGGAAAAATAACAGTAAACCAGAACAGTCTGACCATTGAATGAAAAATAAAAGCAAACACGAAATAAAAAACCAGTCTTCGTCTTCCAGAGCCTAGTCACCAACCTTATTACCGGCGGGTCTAGGAAGATGGACCCGCCGCCTCCCCATCTTTGGCCTATCCAGTGCCATGCCCTCTCCAGTTGTATCTTCTCTAGACCGGCTTTCCTAAATTCTCTTGCGTTTTGTCTCACCGGGCGCCTCCTCCTTCTCATCCTTCCCACCCTGCTGGGATACACTTGCACCTGTCTCTGCCGAGTATTCTCCCCCGAGATCAGTCTTCCGATGTTGCCCAAATCCCCCGGAGCTCGAGGAGTCATTCACTAGCCACTTATTAGTCCTTGTGGGACTATTCTTCACCCCACCTCCAGCTCTAAGCTCCACCCCAAAGGGTTTCTCTAACACAAAACTCTCTTCATACTTCAAGGGACAGAATTTGTTCGAATGCCCAATTACCCCGCACATGAAGCAGAAATTAGGTAGTTTTTCATATTTAAAATCTACCCAATGTCCCACCCCTTCCTTCTTTAGAATAGTACCTTTTTTAGGGGTTTTCGCACATCCATACAAACTTGTATACGCAGGTATGATTTCCGATTGCCTTCGAACTCGCTCTTATCAAACCTAATGAAAGTACCCAAAAAGTTCCCAATTCTCCTAGCAGAAGCCAAATTTCTAAATTTATAGGGAACATTGTGAACTTGTACCCAAAATTCAGCCTCATACAAATTCATATTTTTAGGTATATCATATGGCTGAACAGCATTCAAAAGAACTAAATCTTTTTCAAACAACCAAGGTCCATCCTTTAGTACACGATTCATATCCAACACATGATTAAATTCAAAAAGGTACCTTTTATCCCCAATTTCCTTGATATCTACACCTCTTCCTGGCCTCCATATTGAAGTTAGCATCTCCTGAAACCCCAAGAGCTCAACCTTCCGATCCGTGACCACAACCCCCACCACCGGGAACACCGTTGGTTCATCGACCGCATCCAAGTCCCTCGTTTCCTCATCATCGAAGTTGAGTTCATTGTTCTCCTCACCAATAACCATCTTCTTGTAGTTTATTGACAATATCTTCCATCTACCAAATCTTCCATGTTGCAGACCGCTCCATGCCCCTTCTTTCTCGACTAGCGCCCGCACCGCTCCTGAAGAACTATAACACCCCACCCAAATCGACCCCGCCAATCCGAGCGGTTTGTCACGAGACAGAAATCGAAACAGATTTATCCAACGACTTACATATTTACAAAGCATAATTTTTATTATTGAATAATTGGAATTACTAGCCCAAAATAAGTAGGATTTCATTAAACAAGCGTAACATCAATGTCACAAAATTCATTACAAACTGTCAAGATGAAAATTTAAAGTTTATTACAAAATACACGTTACATACTTTAAACAACCCCAAAACACACCATATGCATATGAGCCCTATGCCTCCATCCATCCCGATGCTTCATGTTGATCTTGGGCTTGACCTACGGGTAGGAAAAACAAACAACTACCCGCTCAGCAATGTGCTGAGTGGTACGGTAATAACAGATATAACATATCGAAGCATATAACAAACATATCATAATTAGCACGTGATTACATCATACCTGAGTGGACCAGATACACTTTCATGTATTTCAGAATTAATATACATGTACAGAACAGAACAACTTCAGGTAACCGATTATCAAATAATTTATATTCTTTTTAAACGTATCATCAATCAGACATATTCGCTTATTTAGCCTTAAACTCAAGAACTGGACCTAAACAGAGGAATACTAACGATAAGGAATACAGTCACAAAGTCTGTACCCACATTACCCAAGAAGGATATGGAAACGTAATCGCCGGAGCTACACGTACCAATCCCTAACAGAAGCTAGCTGAACAGAAAGTACGAGGTCACCGAAGAGATCCGGTCCTTAACAGGAGAGTAATAGTGTTCTAAAAAGATTTAAGGAATGTACGGAGTACACTGAACAAGAGAACACTAATTCCTCTAAAACAGAATTTCAAGAGTGTACGTAATACACTAAACAGAACAGAAGTATTCACGTCAGAGTGTCAGACCAAGAGTAAGGCTTTTAAGAAAATAGAAACCTTGATTCTTTATCATTAGTACTTACTTATACTAATTTAAATAACTGATAAAATCAAAGTATTAATTCTACTAAAGTCATTTTAAAAATATATGTTCGTAAACTCATATAAATAAGCAACTCTTATACATACTTTACACCTGTTTTCCAGAAATATATTATAAGAATTCCTATATTTCATATACATACGAAACATATCATGGAGAACATATACTACGTATAACGTATCATATACTACGTATATAATATTAATCGATCAATTAATACATATTTGTTAATTGGAATATATATTTTATACTTAAGTCAGGGCCGGTCCTGATATAGGGGCAGGATGGGCGGCTGCCCAGGGCCCACCAGAAAGAGGGGCCCACAAATCATTTAATAGTAGTATGTATATTGAGTTATGTTCACCTAAGTCGCGCTTGATCGGGAATTATGTACGGCCAAACCCATTTGAGGTGCTTTGAAATGAAACTGTTTCATGAAAGTTTGTTAGCATGTTTTTCATTAAGTGTAGATTATGTCCACATAATTTGAGCTTAAAATTCCATCAGGAAGTCCGTTAAATAAAATATTGAAAAACAGTGCTCTTTATATTTGTTTAAAAAGCGCAATGTTTTTTTTTTTGTAATTTATTTACCTAACTTCCCAATTGAATTCAAAACTGAAATTTTGTGCAAATAATCTAATCTTTGTGAAGAACATGCTAACAAAATTTTATCAAAAAAATCGACCAGATCATTTTGTCAGGCGCTTCTGACCATATCATTTTCTTATACTCTAACACTCCGTCAAAGATACCCCTCAACCCTCATATCCATAGAGTGAGCCACAACAGCACAGCTACGCATGAGATACAATTGAATGACTTTCAACTTTCCTCACAGAAGCCGAAAATTAAAGATGATATTATCATCGACAATTTTCCTTTAAGAATGCCTAAAAATTTGTTTTTGTATGACTTATGATACCAAGTAGTTTTATTAACAAAAACATTTAGTTGTGTAACAAATTTTATTTTTGATAATGAAACTTTTGTAATATATTCTTACAAGTTACAACATACTACTTATATAATTAGGGGCCTATTTTTGTATTTTGTCCCGGGCCTATAAATTGTTAGGACCGGCTCTGACTTAAGTCGGGTATTAGATTGTGCATGCATGTTATCAGTATATTAGTTTTTAACACTTACGTATATACGAAGTATATTATAAGTTCACATATATACATACTAACTAGCGTGGTTACGCGCTTTGCGCGGCGGTCCAGCCCAACGTTTGGTAAAGACGGAAAAACAGGACTGTAAATAAGCTGTATATTACAAAAGTATCAATTAACCAAGTAGTCTTCTCACTGTCCACCCTTGAAATTTCTTCATTAAGCCACTTATATTGAGGTGTATATTTGACTGAAAATGGTGGAGACATAGCATAACATATTTAGTAAGTATGGAATACAGACATTCAATAAAAAATAATCCCATAAAGGTCTATTTTTTATTCCGTCTCTTTGACCATAAATTTCAGAAACAGCTTTAAAAAAATATGATGCTAATAACAACTCAGTGAGTATTGCAAATCCAAAATAAACTACGGAGTATATCAAAAAATTGAACCTATGGTCAATTAGACATTGGCACATTAGTGTCGTCTTACAGTATTTTCTGAAAGAAAATGAACCAAAGTAACAGGAAAAGTAAACTACCAAATGGGGATTAGGTAAATTAACAGCAATTCCATGAAATATGGCGTCTTAGACTTCCTCAGAGGTCATTAGAGGAGTTCTTGTGGCTGCTTAAGTTTTTTCAATTCATCATTGTAAAATCGAACATCAGTAAAAACCAGTCAGCCTTAAAATGTGAAAAGTGAAACTAAAGAAACTGGAGAATTAAGGATTGGATCATCCAACAAAAAAGAACAATTTTTTATTAGCTGCTTGCTCGCACAAGCCATGAAAATGAAGAAAGGAAAAGTGCATATTTATAAAAATCAATAAGTATACTCCCTGAAGGTGCTGGTGCGAACCAGCGTTTGAAAATTACATACGATCTAAAAACAAAAAGAAAAATCATATCAAAAGAACTGAAATGAATTGAAAAGGGAAAAATCAGATGCAAGCATACCTAGATTAAAAGGTAAAACTTAAGCATTGCATGATTTTAGTCCTTAGTCTGGTTGAGTCCTAGTGGATGGAAGTTCCTTGGATTGGAAGTCATGTTTCACCACTTTGCCCCTTAATATCTTGCTTATGCATTGTCTTGTGCATCTTCATCTGCCACACATTGTATGCAACGGTAAAAATGACAATTTGTAAGGAGAGTTCATATAAATATATACGTCAAGCTTGTTTATTCCTTGCAACCTTCATGAATGGAAAAATATTTCCTTTTTAGTTTTTAGTTCAATTGATAGGAAACAAAGTTCTATCACTTCCCATTTCACCTAATTATCATTAATTGTTAAAAAAACAAGACTTACTTTAGGAAGTGCAAACCCCTCTTCCCCACGAACACGACCTTTTCTTCTAAAGCTTTCAGATTACCTAAATTGAAAGAAAAACAGAAAATAAGATCAAAGCACACATCAATCAATATGTTTCCCAAATGACTTGCAGTTGTACACCACAATTTTGTATTTTCCTCTATAAACATATTGAGACAAATTTTACCCCACCCCCAATTTATAGAAGGTAACATGTTAGAAAAATGACTAAACAACCTAAAAACTATGAAACTGCATTCCGGCCAAGCCAGTGATCCACTATAAAAGAGTGACAGAAGAGAATTTCTTTCTAGAGCAGCAAAATAAAGTTGGCTTACCTCCAGTTCTACCTGCATCTATTAAATAAGTTCAACAGGATCCCCTGAAATGCCACGAAAATAAATAGCAATGTACACCTAGAGATTGAAATTTTGAAAACTAAGGAGTGTTAATTAAATTGAAAAACTTACAAACCTTTAAACCTTTAGATGTCTCTTCAATTGGTTGATGCTTATTCCTCAACTCTTGTAATTAAAATTCGGTAACATTTTGATAGTTGGCCTCTTCCAAATGGAGGATGCTTCGTTTTTGTTCTAGATAGCACCTGGTCAGGTCTGCAATAAAGAAAATAGATTAGTTAGTTATGTCAACGATATATCATTTTTATGTGGATATCTTATATTCATCATAAAAGATAATCAACAATAACAATCACAAGATCATAGCATGTACCTCGGCCGCCAAAGAGTACTATGATATTTTAGTGATTAAAAAACACAGCTTACTGAAATGTACAAAGGTTACGTGATGGTTACATGATTTTCCTAGAGCTATATTGATTTTCCGTGGTAGCATATCTTCATATGCTAAATGAAACAAATTAATAGATGAAATTGTACCTCCAGGCTTCAGAAGGAGGTCAGGATCCACAGCTGAAAGCTTAGCCGGCCGACACTGGTAAAAGCTTAGCTTATGAAATCTTCAGTGGCGATCTCCTTAAAGCCTGGGTCCGCAGCTCATCGCCTGCTCTTAACCCTGATGGACTGAACTAAACAGATCAATATAATATACATGAAATTTGGAAGGAAATAAAATGTGAAATTTAAAAAAAAATGTGACAAAAAAAGGAGTATTTATTTTTAAATTAATTCAAAATCATTTTTTATTTTTATTTTTGGCTGTAGTATATAAGGACTAAGAACTATTAAGAAAGTAAAAGTGTATATATAAAGTTGAACAATCAACAACTTCAACATATTTCACTTTCCTTGAGGCCAAACAAAAGAAAATAGCTTGAGGGCGAGTATATAGCTCATAGAATACATACCATTTTTGTCTGTGCCTTAACTGCAACAATTAGGCGAGTATATTCCTCTATCTGCTTGGGTCCAATAATATAAACTGTAAGAGAAGTTGAGAGCATTGAGGGCGTTGTGATGTTTGTAAAGAAATGAGCTTTAGAATACACACCATTTTTATATGTGCCTTAACTGCAGTAATTAGGCGAGTACATTCCTCTATCTACCTGGAACCAATAATATAAACAGTAAGAGAAGTTAAGATCATTGAGCACATTGTGATGTTTGTAAAGTAGTTTTAAACATAAAACTATAGTCATTAGACTACTAAAAAGCTCACCCATCAGGTTTCTTCTCCCTCACTGAAATAAAATCTAGAGCTTCAGACCAAGTGAATTCGACGTGAAAGCCAAGCACGATATCCACAAATATGTGCGTAGTGTCTGGCCTGTTCGAAATAAGTAATGACAGTATAGAGAAATAAAGCAAGAAAACAGGTTCAAAATACATGAAATGCCAAAAGAAAAACTTCTAGTTTGTATTCAACTAAAAAACTGTACTCCCAGTACTTGATCGAACTATATGCATTAAAGTTGTAATAATCTTGGGAAGAAGTTTGTATAAAATTGATAGTAAAAATTCAAGTAAATTGGCAAAAGAGTAAAATTAAAGAATCGCATAAACAACGGTCCTCTATCCGTATTAAGGGCCTGATCACATAAAGAAGATAAAATATGAAGCAACCATGAGTTTTATCACATAAATTCAATCATATGTGCAACTAATGTGTCTAAACACATTAGTCAAAACTATGGCTCCTTTTATCCATTCCAAATTAGTCTTCTTTTCAGGATTTCAGGATAAATGACTAAACTTCTGATGACTATACCCAAATTAGTCTTATTTTTAAGTAAACATTTACCTTGGGATAAACATGTGTGGAAGCTTAGTGTTGCCAAATGTTTGAAGAGAGATAAATCCAAATGTTTGATGATAATTCTGTGTTCTTCTATGATGTGCCTTGACATCAATAGCAATGGTATGATGTGCCTTGACATCTTGAAAGTATGTAGAGCCCTGCCCCGTTGAGTTCTAGCTAAACCTTCTTATGAAATAAGTCTACTGCTTTATCATTAACCAAAACAAATAACCAATAAACCTATTAATCAAAACTAACATACCTCAAACAAGAAAAGTGAGTTTGAAGAAGGAAAAACAGTTCTGTAATGTTCTCTATATATATTTATGATGGGCAGAGAGTACATCATAGCACATGAGAATCCTACCACGAAATGAAATAGAAACAAAGAGAAGCAAAATAAGAGAATAAACTTAGCTAAAAGGTGATGATTATCGGGGCAGAGAAGGTACTCCCTGGATGCGGCGGCTTCGGCGGAAGAATTTTTAGCCAACCCTAACTCTGAATCGAAGAGAGTAGAAACAGGAGCAATCCAAACTCGGCGGAAGGTTTAAATCCGGTCTCGCAGATAGATATCGAGGCCCATCTACAAGCTGGAACAGGAGCAAACAGAGCAAGAATTCGCGGTTAGCTTTCCTTGCGCCAAGCTACAATGACCGTCCAGCACTGTTTCAACGGCAAAGCAACAAGGGTCGTCGGAAAACCAGCGCAGGCCCAAAACGAACAACAAAAAACAAACGAGTAGTGCAGCAGAACAGTACCGAGAAAGTGAAAAGAAGAAAAGGGGCAAAAACTTGCAAAGGGGGAAAGAGCCGAATGAGCGGATGGATGGGAAAAACAAGGCCATCAAAGTTGTAGAAGAACAGAAACAAAGTCAGATGCGTGTCAAATAGCAGCTGCGTGTGGAACAAGGAGGAATTGTGTCAGCGGCGAATCCAGCACGGGCAATGAAATGGGGCGTTTTTTTTACTGGGTTGCCACACAGCCGGTGAAAAAAAAACAGCAGCTTTCCCCTTTTGCAGTTACCGTTTAACAAGGAAGAAGGCGTTGCTACTGTAGCAACGGAACAGAACGAAAGATAACTTCCTTCCAACATTTATATATTAGGGAGATATGCAGGTTAATTATACTCATTACTCTACGTGTGTGTGTGTGTATATATATATATATATAGGTAAGAGATCAAATGCAAACCATGCTTAAAATGCAAACTCGTGAAAACTCCGACAACCGGTGGTATTTTTTGCTCAAAGTTTTTGTGTATGTTCCTCATCAAGTCTAGTTCATATATACCAAATTTGAGCAAAAAATTCAATCGGGAAGGTCATCAAATGATTTTTGAAAGAAAACTGCATTTTATATGTATTTTCCGGACCAGTTTTCTTTCAAAAATCATTTGATGACCTTCCCGGTTGAATTTTTTGCTCAAATTTGGTATAGATGAACTAGACTTGATGAGGAACATACACAAAAACTTTGAGCCAAAAATACCACCGGTTGTCGGAGTTTTCACGAGTTAGCATGGGAGAACTAGTTAGTATGAGATCTCACCCCTATATATATATATATATCCATGCATGCATGCATGCATGGATATGAGCTAATGCATACATGCAGGCCGGCTATAAAGCTAAGGCACTAAGTTTATGTTTAACTATACTATACATATCATTTACGTAGATAACGCAGTCACGCAGGTTTATTTATAAATGGAAAAATTCATGGGATATGACTAAAACAAAGTGAATTTCTCGAAATGTGACTAGTTATGTTTCTTTTCCGAAATATGAGCAAAAATCGAAAAAAAAAGAATTTTTCGTTTATATAAAATTGTGGAAGGACAAAAATACCCTTTTTTTAAAAATATGCATTTTACACTAATTTCGTCCGGGTAAAAATAATGCACTTCATGAAGGCGTTATTGCACTACATTTATTGCACTTTATGGCGGTATTCACTGCACGACATAACACAAATGTAATATTACAACAAAAAAATTGTGATTTGTTATTGATTGATGTTTTTTAGTATGTAACCTGTCCGAAAAAGAATCTAAAATTGTGATTTTCTGCAATACAAATTAAAGATGCAAGCGACAAAAATTTTACATAGTTACTATATATACAAAAGTAATGTCATTACTCATTAGAATAAAAATATGTTGAGCTATGTTGTGTGATACTGTAATGTCTTTAGTGGGACTTCGGTGGAATTTGTGTGCTGAGATGACCAATAAGCCATTGTAGTTTTAACTGGACCTAGAAGAGGCAACCAATTAAATAGAAAAATTAAATATAAAATAGAAATCACACAAAGAAAAGGATAGAAAAAATTGGGGAAACATGACATCAAAGAGTAGATACAAAGAAAAGTACTCCGTATAGAAAAGAATGAGTTTTGCTAGGGGTACACAAAATGTGTATACATGTCTGTCCTTCACATAAATTTTGTCTGTGACACAGACAAAATTTATGTGAAGGACAGACATGTGTACACATTTTGTGTACCTCAAGCATTAAAGAATAGTCTGATAAATTAGTCTAGAGTTAACCTCTACTTGAACTTTAGTGTAACCTCTTTCCATGCACCATAAAAGCGATTTAATAATTGCATTGTAGATATGAACCTATGACTCATCTTGCATGGGAAGGTTGGTACTTGGTAGCTGCCTAGAAATGGCCTCCATTTAAGGTTGCATGTTGATGCTTGTCTAGGGAAATATGATGCTCGTCTAGGGAAATAGGGAATGATTACTTTGCACACTCTAAATGGAAGTACTATGATTGGCAACGGTACAATGGCTTTCAACCTACTTTGTCTGAAGGATGATATTTTATCCTTCACACCCAAACACCAATGTACCATGTGAAATGTTATTTGTTTGATAACTATCTCAGCTGTGTATCTTCCATTAGTCCATAGTATACCAGTCCACAACACCATGAAGAACCACAATTGACCATCCTGAGAGTAGTTTTTAGCAGCAAGCCGATAGTTGAAACAACTTTGTTTGAAAGAGTTGTCCACCTGCCAATCAACATCCAAAATGGCAGAGAAATATTTCCAAATTTTAGCTATAAAAGATCTTAGTCTGGGATCTGTGTTAAAAAAAGATAACAAATAGCAGGCATATGAAGCTGGAATTTATACAAATTATCCGAAATGGGAATATTTCTCTTGAAGCACTACCCTAAGAAAATACTGATTTTAGTCACTTGAATAGGATGTCAGGTAGGCGAGTCGGGCCATGTTTATTCTTTGTTGTTTTCTATAGAAAACAACAAAGTTCATTCTAATATCTATCAATGAAATGGAAAAAGTTGCTTCTAATCCGCAAAAACAGTATGTGGATATGGAAATGAAGCTGGAGAGGCTTTCAAAAAGCAACAACGTTTCTGGTATAATTGAAGAATTTTTTGTGGTAGACCCATTAGCTTCAAAAGAAGGCATGACTGAAAAATTTCAGGAGACAGAAACATAAACACATGATGAGTAAAGGAAGTATGTATAAGCAACCACCGCAGATGATTTGTGTTTATCACGTCAATTTGTATAGATTTTCATATTGCTTCACAGATTAGAGACTAAGGCATCGTTTGGCTGAACGAAGGGGAAGGAAAGAGAGCCTGACTATTTTTGACCCAGTAATGTAGTATTCATTACCTTTGACTACAAAATATTTAATCCAGTTCTTACTGCATATTTTGCACTTAAGCTATTTAGTGTAATCTCACTCTCTAATATCTTAGTTCTTATATATCCATGCTTCACAAAGTAGTCTAAACTTGTGATCTAAGGATTAGTTTTCCCAATTATGATTTTGTGTTCTGAACTACACATTACAACACTTCCTTGAATTCACTCTTCACTATTAAGCTATGCGAAACAGATGACCTTCGTCTTTTCCGGCCTACAAAATCAAGTAATACAAATGATGTTGATAGTTGATACAATGTGTCTAAAGAAAGTGCAGTATACAAGATTTATAACAGTTCTATAGGAAGTTGGAAACGTTAATGGTGGCAATCCATTTATGTGGTACATATTCTCATTTTACCCCAAGACATTGAGTTTGTTGGGACTTCGGACTGAAGCAATGCCATACCACTTTACTGTATACTCCGTATGACATACCCTAATCTCATTTATAGCCTTAAATGCAGCTTGTCACCTGGACATATATAGTCAATTAGTTACCTCTTTTAGTTGTTTTTTCAAAGCGCGAGTCATGGATATTATAGCTAGGAAAATAAAAGAGTAAAATATATTGATGGTGCAAACAAAGGTGAGAAAATATCAGCAAGTGTATAAAGAATGGTTGCATATTAGTTTATAAAGATAGGGAGGTAAGTGAAAGATTACTTATTAGTTTTGTAATTATATCACAGTGCTAATATGCCTCCAGTAACCGCATGTGTTAATGATGACCCTAATTATCTAAGAGTTGACACCTAAACATTGATTTAAAAATGGGTGCTTAGGAGGCCTAGGATGGTAGGAACCACACCAACTTCAAAGGATGAAATATCATAACTCATAAGTCTAAAATATTAAAGGAAATATGTAGTGGCGACTATCAAAGGTTCAAAACTTCCCGTTTAAGAAACAAGCTCACCCAGTTAAAGAGTCATTACACCAATTTCCAGCCCCCCCCCCCCCCCCCCCCAAAAAAAAAAAATAACTAAAAGGGAAAAATATCATAAGTCTGAAATATTAGAGGAAATACGTAGTGACTATCAAAGGATCAAAATTTCTTGCTCAAAAAACAAGCTCAGCCAGTTAAAGATTTGATGACTCAATACACCAGTTTCTAGCCCCCAAGAGAAAACAACGGTTTAATTTTTAATGTTTTATATTAAAGCTATTTTCACATGCTTTGTTAAACCTCAGGAAATAGAAAGGAAATGTAATACGATTAAGTGATTAATTTCCTTTTGCATTTCATAATGTTTCTTAGCAGTCAAAGCATAGAAACATTTTTAGAAAGTGAAAAAATATGGAACGTGATATCTACGATATTGTTGGGCAATGCATATATTATTCCGCCTATTATCAAAGTTAACTTTAATATTGTTATCCTTCATATTGTTATCCACACTCATGGTTAATCCATATATCATTGAATGCGGAAGAAGTGAGGGAGATATGTCTCTATTGATTGAGCTGGGAGCAAAAAGGAAAACTAAAATGCTGTTATCACTAAGCAAAAGCGTGTTTTACTTTCCTAGAAGCTCTATTATCGGTTGACCGGTGTGTATTGGAACCAGCAATGCATCTTGGTTCAAGCACTGGAAGCATCTGTGACAGAGCATATGCCCCAAAATGAGAAAAAGTGAAGGTAGTGCCAATGTCAAGAAGAAACGAAGCCAAGGTATCGAGCGATTTTTGCCTCCATTCTTATTTTTTAGTTCTTCTGTCTAGTTCGTTTCCAGGGTGCCGAAGTTCTCCTCAAACTACCTAGAAGAGTAGCATAGCTCATCCACAGAAATCGGAATTCTAGTTTGTTGTTTGCATTGAAAGAGACTTCAAACTTCAGATAGAAATATTTCCTCTGTGCCACACATTAGGAGATTGCGTTTGGAGATGAATTTAGGTCGAGTGTATCATGCGGTGCACGCAAATAGATAGGCGCTGAGGGTAACGGGAGAAGATGACGATAACGAAAGGGTATGAGTTTGCCGTACAAATAATAGATAATAATGTTCAAACACTTGTAGCAATGTGTTACACCAACATTTTTTTGAATCCTAAAAGGATATAACCCTCATTGAGACTTATAGGTTTTTAGATAAGGGTAATAGGTGGGACGATTGAAGGTGAAAGGGTCTCTTCAATTTCCATTATTTGTGCTTCAGATGAGATTGAAACAACTTAGAGTGAAGATTAAGGCAGGTCTCGAGAAAATGCAGACCCTGTGCAATAAAAAAAATGAGTCTTTCTTTCCTACACAAGTACAAAAAAACATAGATAAAGATCATAATAGTGTGATAATCTATGTTAAAATACAGGTCACTAACAAACAAAAGAGTAAAAGTAAAAGTATTCATTAATTAGTAAGATACAATTCATTTAAACAGAGACATTCTTAGAGCATATTTAGATGCAAAACTCATCTACCAAACATTCTTTGAGTGTTTCAGATTCCATTGATATCGATGCCAATTTGTAAATATAATTAGTTTAATTACATAATTAAATAAATAACAACCTAATTTATTACTACGTAGTTTTTTATTATGAATTATTCAAACCTAATAAATAGCTAAAATAGTCAAACTCAATCACATAAAAACCATAAAGATTAACAAATAACAAGATATAAGAAATTAAGAAGATTAATAATTAATAATTTAAAAAGAAATTAGAGAAAACCTTACCTGGTTGGTTCAATCGTTCACTCTCGCACTGCGTGTAACACTTCAGCAGCAACTCATCACTTGAGAGACTCGGCAAGCGCTGCGACTCTTGAGAGCATAGAGCAATTCAGATGACTGAGGAGTGAGGACACAAGGTCTCGAGTCTGGAGGCAGGCGGCTTGACGCGGTGGCGGTGTTTGAGTTGTCGCTTGCAGAGCCAGTTGCTGAACAAACATTGTTGGTGATCCTCAGCGGATGAACTGGGTCCTCAAGCCTAACCCAACAACCCTACTAACCCGGTGAAATGGTGTGGACATGCGGAACAAAAAGAAAGAAGTGGTGGACGGTTGGGGCTGATCAGGCTTACTAACGGGATGGTAGATGCCGTTTATTAACGGCAAAATAGGAAGCGATATCATGTTACAATTACTTGAGCACGGTCTACATGTCTATTAAGCTTCAATATACCACCAACAAATTTTTTATACAAAAAATAACCTTACTCCCATTCAGTCTTATAATTTTGTGTATGTATGTAAAGATTTTACTTAAACGTAAAAAGTAAAAATTTTAAGTTGTTTTAATTTTCTTCCCACGTTACCTTTCTTTGAAATTTACGAGAATTGTATTGAATTTTAGCTTTAATATTAAATGAGATAAATAATTAATTCAAAACAATATTAGAAATTATATTCATATACAACTTAACCACTATACCGGATTTTGAGGCGTTACAAGAACGACAAGTCCCGCCTCGCCGGAATACCTGCAGCAAAACACCGCACGACCCCCTAACTTGCTCGCCAAAATCGAGCCGATCTTCGTCCTCGATGAAATCGGAAAAAGCCCCCAGCGGCGCAATGTCCTAGAGAGAGAGTTTGTTTCTTTTCCAATTCTATGTTAATAACATTGATTTCCATTGTATGTTTTTATTTATTTTTGCATTTTAAAATTTTTCTATATGTTAATTTGTGATATGTAGAAGATAAGTTTTTGGACGTACTTGGCATTTAGCGGTTAATTGTTAGCGGAAAGCGGAGATTATGTAAGCGGGTTGTCAATAGTGGATTCAGTCAGTAGGTTTGATTAGCAGAATAAGTTGGCGGGTTGTCAGAAAATGTTTAATAATTTAATTGTTTAACCATAACAATTAATAGAAAATACAATATTTCAAAATGTTAACCTCAAAATTCTTCTATTTGCATCGCTTTCATTTTATTGGTTCTACCCAAAAACGCTAGGTCCGAACAACTATTTACCAAACAACGTTTTCACTTATTGAAAACGTTGAATGGGGTCAAACCGCTATTTTTTGGCTGGAACGCCATTTTTCAAACACCTCTTTTATCTTCTCCCCTCGAAATGAAATGACCGATATCTAGCAAAACTTTCGAAATGCAAAAATAATTACTTTAAAACTACCCCTTTGTGATTAAACTCTTGTGTCCGCAATAATTTGGCTACATCTCTTTGTTAGGAGTAGTTATCTCATCTTATTTTTATTACTTATTGCTTATTCTAATTTTATTTAATCAGGTCAAATTAGAAATTTAGATGTAATAGGTCACATAAAAAAACTCAGATTATATCACAATAGATAGATTATTGTTGTTCTTGCTATTGTTATTGTCAGTGTCATTGTCATTGATATTGTCATTGTCATTGTCATTGCAATTGTCATTGCCACTGCCATTGTCATTGTCATTGCCATTGCCATTGCCATTGTCATTGTCAATGCCATTACCATTGTCATTGTCATTGTCAATGCCAATGTCATTGCCATTGTCATTGCCATTGTCATTGTCATTGTCATTGCCATTGTCATTGTCATTGTCATTGTCATTGTCATTGTTATTATTGTTAATGTTATTATTATTATTATTGTCAGTATTATTATTAGGGAAAATGGAAACTAATAATCCAACTTTTTAGTGGTCTTCTTACAATAGTCCCACCTTTTCGTTATTCATGAATAATCCAACCTTTGCACCTCATCTTCATTCACTGGTCCCTGACCGGTTGATGACCTGATATTCCAAGTTATTTTCTTATCTTTACAAACCATTATACCATAAATATCACCTTTCACAAAGATAATATTTTGCGAAAATAACTTGTGATAACAGGTCATTAACCGGTCAGGGACCAGCGAATGAAGATGGGGTGCAAAGGTTGGATTATTCTTGAATAACGAAAAGGTGGGACTATTGTAAGAAGACTGCTAAAAGGATGGATTATTAGTTTCCATTTTCCCTTATTATTATTATTACTATTACTACTATTTATTATTGTTGTTATTAATTTATTATTTGTAAATATTGCTTATATTATAATTATAAATATATTATGGTTATTATTTATTATTTGTAAACATATTTTGATAAAAATATATTGGGCATTTAGCTCAACACGCAACGCGCGTGTAAATAACTAGTATAATAATGCATGCTAATACACTCAACTAGTGTAACACCCGGGGCAATGCCCTGATGGTGTCATTATAAGTAAGAAATTCATAAATATCAATGTACGTTTTTTTAAAAGAAACCTATAAAGTAGTAGCATATTTATTAAATAAATACAACACATTGAATTTTACATTATTCACATGTTTTAATTTGACTACACTTAATTAATTAATGTGGTAATAACTACTCCCTCCGGTCCTAAATAATCTCCACACTTTCCTTTGTGGGCCGGTCCAAATTAAACTTTACACTTCCATTTTAGGAAAGTTTTTTTTAATCTAAAATACCCTTTATATCCCTAACCATTTACTCCCTTTGTTCGGCCCACCGTTGCCACTTTTATTCGCTCTATGCGCTCCAATCTCTCTCTCTCTCTCTCTCTCTCTCTCTCTCTCTCTCTCTCTCTCTCTCTCTCTCTCTCTCTCTCTCTCTCTCTCTCTCTCTCTCTCTCTCTCTCTATCTCTCTCTCTCTATCTTCCATCGTCCTCCACCGCCTCCAACCTCCTAACCTCCATCGCCACCCCTCCTTTTCCTCACTTCCATCGCCACCCCCTCCTCCTCACCTTGATCGTCACCCCTCGTAGTTCTAACCTCCATCTCAATGGATCCCAAACCATCACCCCTGAAAAATCTAAGGTGGCCCAGCTTCCCAAACCCACACGCGCTACAGAGCTTGGATCATCACAAACCATCACCCCGAAAAACCCTAAGACGGCTCAGCTTCCCAGCAGCCCTATTATTGCTTGATCTCTTGGATGTATCTTGAAATGTGAATGAAAATATCCCTATTTTCCCACCCCACTCCACCTCCCCGCTGTCAGCAATCCTAGGTCTGTCAACAGGAGCCAGGAACATGATTTTGGGAATAAAGTTCTTTGATTGAGCTATTCTGTATGGATCTTCTTCTGTGGGAAGGGAGTAAAAATTGGTAGTGTAACACCCCCAAATTTCCCACCCGAAAATACATTTAAAAGAGATAAAATTTCATTTATTTATTCGAATTGGAAATAAGTTTGCAGCGAAATTAACAAAAAAAGGGAAATGGAGTGTTACCGCCACACCCGGCCACACACAGCCGAGTGCACAGGCAATCCCAAACGAAACAAACCAAAACAAGTGTTCAAAACATGAGTAAAGTATTTAATCTCGACTAGGTTTAACTAAGGTATCTTCTAGTACGCTCTCGGACTTATGCAATCAACAATCAACATAATCACCATCACCTGCACAAATAAAGTGCAGAAACAAAACAAGGAAAGAAAACAAAAATTAGCTTTAGAGCTAAGTAAGTACTACCCAACCCCGTAAAATAATCAGGTTTGGCTAAAATAGATTTTTATATAATACTATATAAAAATAACACACTCCATAAAAATTCTCTTCTTCTTTGATTATCTCAAAAATCACTTCTTCTCTAACTTCCTAGTAATTTAGAAGGGCGGTGCTCAACCTTTCGACTGAGCCCGGTGGACCGTGGTTACGGACGGCCACCCCGAACAAGTGCCGGTACCACAACTGCTCTTGCGGAAACGAAACGACTACCTTAAGTGTGCACACCCCCAAAAAGGGATTCCAAGCCCTCCGAGTAGTAAGTCGTCACGAGTAATCGGGACTCAGTCTACCAACTACCCCACCTTTAAAATTCTTGAATGATTACGGACTACTACTACTATAACTTCTTCTTAAAAGGGATCATAGATCCAAATGTCACTTAAAACTCAAACTGTACTTCTTAGTAGTAGCAGCCCTAATCACCCTCCACATTTATCCGGATGTGGAAAACCGACACCGCGGATTTCTCCCGCGGTGCTCACCTCTTATAAAATCTTTACTTTTATCTTGAATTAAGATATACTTCTCAATCTCTCTAATTAGTCGCAAAGGTATTTAAAAATATTTAATACCCCAAAAGAACTTAATTTATATTTCTCAACTACAATTTATATAATATCTCCTCAAAATCACATACACAAAATTCACAATTCACACTTAATCACATAATGCATAATAAGCATATAATACGAGGAAACAATTTTGGATCGGCAGAGAAACTTACCTCGAAATCAAAGCCTCTACTTCTCTTCTTCTATTTTAGTCTCCAGAAAATCACCTTTTTAATTAAAATGATATAATTAGTCACCTTTTTCTATTCTTAATATTTTATACAATTTCCCCCCTCCTGTAATTTTTTTTAAATATATTAATTATCACTTTATCTTGCTATTTTAATTATTAATCTCATGTGCGAATATATATTAACTTAATTTAGTCTAAAAGTAGTAGAGTCGTATTTTAAGTTAACTACTCCGTATTAATCAGTCCGGTTATAATAACAATCAATCTAAAAATTCCCTTTTCACTTTTTAATATATTCATCTCAAATTATATTCCTATTTAACAGATTGTTATTATCCGGTCCAATACTTAATTTGAAAGGATAGAAGCAAACGCATTAAAGACGAAGGACAAAATACATAGTACCGGAGTTTTCCGTTTTCGGTACTCGCTTGGCACCGGCGACCTCAGGAAGAGGGAGACCTGCGTCGTTCCTACATCACAGCGTCGGAAGTAAGGTGGCGGCGCGGCATGGAGCTCCGGCAATCTCCTTGTTATTTGTTAACATTGGCGACTTGCTGGTGTTCTTCACCAGCGTGAAGACCGGTTTCCCCAGTCGGTTTCCCCCTCCTGCACTACGTAAGCGAGCGGCGAAACGGGTTCCTCTTCCGGCGGTCTAGGCTTCTCTTCCGGCGTGCTATCATTCTCCAGCGACTGGTTTAGCGGATTGGCTGGTCGTTACGGCAGCCTCCTGCGATGTGGCCTCGATCATCTTTCTCTTTTCTCTCTCTCGCTCTCTTCTCTT